TAATGCGTAAAGTTTTGAGAATATTTTTATTTTTGCGAGGGAAAAATTGTTGTAAATACAATTTCTACTTATTACATATTTGCGTTATCAGTTTACAACAGATTATGCTTGTAAAATTTTTTATATTATTTGTAAAAGTTTTTTGACCAATTCTTGCTGAGTTTGTTCATTAAAGGTGACTCGTGAAGAGCGGCAATTTGGAGAAATTTGCGCCAAAGAAGAGGAAACAGCCGCGGATGTAGAACTTGAACTTCCGGCATTTGTGGTAGAGATTAAAGGATTGCTAGGGATAGTGGACGTTGACCGATTTGTTGCTGAAGCTAACGGTGATATCCCAGTAGCTACTCCAAAGTTACTGTAAGCTGCAAAAGTAGCACTTTTTTTGATTAGCATAATATTTTATTAATTTTATTCAAACTGAAATAATGTTCAGTTGTCAGTTCTAGAATACTGAAGTGAAAAATTTTTTTTGTCAACAAAAAATTCAAGAATTACATTTGTCTAAGCCAAAGTACTCTAATAACGTAAAATGAATGGCTGAGAAATAAATCAAATTCTTTCAAATTAGTTTCTGAAACCAAAACAAACGTTGATATTGCAGTCTCAACTATTTATATATTATCAAATTATTTTTGCTTCAATGCAAAATTCATCAAACTTGTATTATAATAAAAATGCAAACTATTACTTTGATTTGTGGGGTTCATATAATTTGAGGTATAATAGGTTGGTAAAGTTCCATTAGCCAAGTTATTACTGGATGGATAAGGGTACTGATTATAAGCTGAAAGAGCGGTTGAATAAGTCGGCATCACCGAGGCATATTCTTGAGCTGTCATACCCTGTAAATGTATTTATCACATTCCTGATAGCAAATATGATAATGCAGTCATTACTGTCCCATTACCCACCAATCAGTTATTTAAATAAATAAATTATATCACACACACAAATTAATTATTTAAAAAAATAGCATCTCAAAGTTCAAACTAAAATAGCTAAGTAAAAATAATTAAAAGTAATAAAAATCAATAAATTGCCACCAAAAATTTTAGTAAAAATTAAAAATATAGCCCCGGTAATTGCCATTCATCAACCTCAAACTTTGAATGGTAAATATCAAAAAATTTTGTGGAATAAATTATAAGAGTTATCCTATTCCTTAATCAGATGAAATTTTCGTGTCGAGAATGATCTTTGTGGTGTCGAAGCTCTCCGTATCTCATTGGTTTTGAAATTTTTAGCTCCACCCTTTTTACCCTATCATTCATCATCTTCCTCTTCATATCAACTGATTACGGTACTACTAGTAAAACGAACTATTCGTTCTATAACGACACCAATATTAAATTTTATCAGTGAATACGTTTGCTTTTTTTGCATTCTATAATGCCATGAGCAATTTCTACGCTAGCCAAAAAAACAAAGCCAAATAAACTTTGGATCATCTAAAATAGCTTTAAAAAAGCTGAAAGATCAAAAAAATCAAAATAAAAAACTTTTTTCATTTTCTATCATTTCGAACTTTTTATTTTTCTCGCTTATATTTTTTAAAGCGCAAAAATATATATTAAATATATACTATTAAAATCAATCACTCGCATTTTTGATTAAATGCCACAATATTTCGTGAATAATTTTCAGTGATAATAGATAAATAACTATGCAGAAAGCAAAAATATCATTGCTCTAGCAAGAAATTTCCAATAAGAAAATTATTACAAGTATTTTTGACTTTTCCCATAGCTTTTCACAATGAACTGTTAGCAAATTTTCTAAGTAAACAAATGAAAGTATTCTTAGAGAATCGTTCATGCTATTTACTTGATAAGCAAGTTGGGTTGATGAGCAATGTACATAAATATGACGTTATTAGTTGTTATCAGATAAATTATAAAGCAAACCATCACTATACGGTTCATTTACACTACTTAATTTCTTGCTCAAATACTTCAATCTAATTAATTAACTCTGAGAGTTAAATACATAAACTTAATTCTATAAACTTATTTTCACACCTCACAGATCAGTAATAATATTTGCTATATGCAAATATAGATAAGGAGTGAGCAAGATTTTGCCTGGTAGTTAAACAATCAGGTAGAACAGTACTTCTTCTTGACAGCTGATTCACACTCAGCTATTATCACTTAATTTGGTCAAGTGAAAAACACAAATGCAACATTGATACCAAACATTATTTTTTCGTGAGAACTTTGTCAAATGCAACTTTTTGATGCAAATCAATAAAAAAGTTTGATTGTTTGCAGCCGTAGTATATTAATAAACCTAATTTAAATGCAGCAATAAATAAATATGTCAACTAAAATTTACAACCAAGTTGCAATTATACGTCTTGTAGATTTTTTCAAAGGCGCTCAAGATGTGGAAAAAATGTATTTGCATGAGTAATGCAAGAATTTGTACTGAAAATCGATGTTTGAATTTTTGTAGGCAAAAAGGTCAAATAAATCTCATAAATACATTGAGATTTTTTTACTTTAAAATAATTTGATCACAACAGTTCATACGATTCACGAATCTATCATTTTTATCAAAACTATCAATATTTTTCATTTATGGTTCACGTAAGTGAGATATATAGATCATTATTAAGAACTAAATTCTTTCGATAATTTGATAATATTGCGTTAAAAATTGATTGTATCATTGGCATACTTAATCACTTGATCATTACTGTAATTTTTTAATATAAGACAAATATTCTAGACTGATAATGATGAACTGATACTTTTCATTGATATTTATGGTCAGATCTGTCACAATTATCAAAAAAAAAAGATAACAATTAATAAAAACCGACTACAGTTACAAACTGACCTGTGCTAAAGTTGATGCTTGCGCTTGATAAAGCGCAGTAGAATCAAATGCTGCAGCTGTGACCGCTAGACCAGCAGCATTGGTCAGCATTGTATTCATATGAGTGGCAGCACCGACCGATTGAATATTACCTACCGATGAGGTGCTAGCGGTAGGAATACCAAAAACGTTTGCTGACTCCAGATTTGCGCCACCGTGATTGCTGATTTGGTTTTGCAACTATTCTGAGAAAGTAAATTGCTTTTTCACCTGCTTATTAAAATATTACCAATGTTTAAGACAGCGAAGTAATTTTAGTATTAACATTTTAAAATAAATGATTGTGTTTCAGAAAAAGCTCAAAATTGAGGTACTTTTGTGCTTTACTCTAAAATCTGAAATGTTTGCGAAAAAAACCGAAAATCAATTCATTACTGAGTTTGATTTTCAGCTTCAGTCAAAAAAATTAGTGCCATAAAATATTGCCATCTATTCAACAGAATAATAGCGACATAAATTTATGCTTTTTTATTGTAGCAGTCTTTTTGCAGAATAGCAAAAGTTGGGAAAACTACGATAATATAATTTTAAAAGTAAAATAACGTAAAAGAAAAGTCAGTCACGAGAAGCACAATAAATGTAAAGTTGCTTTGTGAAGCATTTTTTAAGACTGTACCGACACATTTATCTATATTTTTCTAAGTGCTGCCTTCATGGTGAATTTTGTAAATAGCAAGTGAAGAAAGAAGACAAGCGTGAAATACGAGTAACAAACTAGTTTTACTTTTGACTTCAGTCTCGAAAATTTCAATCTTTTTCGTTACCGACTCACGCATACAAAATTAGTTACGAATTGTAAAAACTACCGAAATTCTCACATTTGTGCATGAATTTCGTTGTAATGACAACAGCAAAGTTAATAGGTAGATTGAGTTTAGATACCGAAATTCTTTCCGTACTATTACGTGTTCAAAGTCTACAGAACATATTTGTTACAGAAGTGAAAACGAAATCCAAATTAAAATACCTTTCATATTATTAGTGAAGTTTTAAAACTGATAAGTTATCCAGCAGAGTATAAACTTTTAATTTTCTGTCTAAATAATTATCAAAAAAAACCATTTTTGAGGATTTGGAACACTTTCAAATAGTTGAACGTATTTTTCAAGTGAATCCATCGAATTGCTTTAGAAGGAAGTCAATATTGAAACAAAACTTGGCACGAGATCATTACGTCAAAAGCAAACACGGAAGACGTGAAATGTCAATATTATCATTTCATCAATTACTGATGTTGAATTTGGTAAACAATTACGTAACAATCTGAGACCACTATCAAATATTTACCAAATTTTTTCAACACATACTCCGTTGTTACTTCTTGGCAGTCATAAAACACGTGTTTTGCTACTATAAATTTATTCATTGAAAGTGTTTTCCTAAAACTAAAAATTGAAAAGCTTGGGATAAAAATCATCTTTGTCAAAGTCATTCTGAAAACTCGCGTAGTACGCCATTATATGTTCAGACGTTGATGTATAGTTAATTTACAAGATTAAAAATGAACCCGTCATTTAACTCCAATTATTAAATTATTTTTATTTATTTTAGCAATTTTATTTTTGCACTCTCTGATTAAGCCCTCAAACTGTTTCACATTTTCCACATTACTCAAAATTTATGCTTTCACAAGAAAATAGTAATAAGAATATAACGGAAAATCGAAGCATCAAAGTATTTTACTGCAAAGAAATATAAATAAAAAACAACACTGAATGTAAGCAATGATCTGTGCATAAAAAGTACACATAAAAGTACGTGAGTATTAATTGAAGAGCAAATAAAAATATACGTCAATGAATGAGACTATATTAAGCAAAGAAAGTCAGACCAAAATTTTAACTTTTTTAAAATATTATTACAATATATACAAACGAAAACATTTCGATCACTAAAACTCAATAACTATATTATTCATAATAGTTTTAAAAGTTTATGAGTGATGGGACATAGGTATGTATCATGCACAGTGGATTTGCATTAACTCAAAGTTTGTTTACGTAATAGAAACTTCTGCGTTTATTTAACTGCCATGAATTCATTAAGAGAACCTACCTGACTTTTCCTACCACTTCAACTTTTGATGCTGATTAAAGTAACGGTAAAAAGGGGGAAAGTGAAGTAAACAATCACATTTTACTACGATACATTGTTGAGTTTTGGTGACAGCCACGAGAAGGGAAGGAAAGCGCAGACCAGTTTGTAATACTACCGTAACGTCTCTCTGCCAAAATGAAATGATCCAAAGGTGGAAGGAACAGCCATCGCTATCCTCGACTGTTGTGCCCTATGATTCATCAAATTTTCCATCGTGCTACGGTTCAGAACTCCAACGCAGATAGCAATTATATTACAAGCATCGCATAAATACAATAACCAATCATAATCTTGATATTTTGATTCAGAAACTGCTAATATATTTATTTAAATTATTAAAATATTGTATTTACATCTGTAATGTAATTTTAATAATTTTTAACACAAAATTATTAAATTTTTAGCGTTTGTTTTGGTAAGCAAATTGAATTTAGCTAATTTTAATCTTTGAAAATTAGTTTCCACAGAAGTTTTAATAAAATATAGAATATTATGGATATAGGAAGAATCCTTAATTCAGATGCAAACCATTCAAAATGAGGTTTATACCATATAAATACAATATTTATTCCATAAAAATGTTTCTATTTCTTTAAACGAAGTGGAAAAAACAATCACTACAGTAGACCATCATAATGATGGAATGAATATAGTTTTCTGAAATTGTTAACACTATATGATTTCAATTGAAAACTCAAATCACTTTGTGTCAAATTATGTTTTTTATAGAGTCGTAATCAAAGATATTCTGAAGACATAATTGACTACATGGGAGATACTATCTATATATAACAGCTTCTTCCTGAAAACTGACTTCCCAAGCAGTAAAATTTAATTACTGATAAATCCTCATGAAAATAAATCAAAAAATCAGAATATAAAATTGAAGGAAAAATCTAAACAAAAAGCAAATACAGTTTTTTTGCTAGAAAAATATGAATTAAAAGCATTTCTCATGCACACATGTTCACAACTTCATGCGATCTCAAAATTCTCAAGACTTTTCGCGGACAAAAGAGACGAAGTTAGGAACAAGAACTTCCCACAAAATATTTTTTTTTGTAAATTTGAAATTATAGGAATTTTAAAAGTTTAAAAAAAAGCAACAATATTGTCATTTTTGCACTGAATAGAAAACAGTGATCAAAAAGTCTTATCAAATCATTCAATTCGAAACTGTCTGAATTATCAACTAAAGAATTATGATAAACAGTTCGATTAATAACTAGAGTGATAAAGCAGCGCAAGTGTTATGAGTAGTGGCGGTCGTTTGAGACTATCCAGGCCAGACTAGCATCATATCGCATCATTTATATGCATCCATACATTTTGCAGTCTCAGTTGAGCAAACATTGACAGACGACAAAAATGATAACTAAATTATTCGATAACTTTACTTTTGATCAATGACAAACCAATCAATAGTGATCAGTGATTTTATCAAAAATATGACCAATATTCTATTTGTGTAATTATCGAAAGATAAAAAAAGAATTGCCAGACAAAATTATGTGATAATTTTTGAGCGAAATTTCTCTGAATATATTTTTGTATTTTTAGTAAATATGTGAGTGAATATATATATA